TAGGAGGAGGGTGTGGACCCCAGAAGGAACAACAGTAGGTAAAAGGTGACGATATGTACAGACTGAAATGATTATGCACAAAAGGGACAATATGCAGGGGGACAGATTAATTAAAAAAAAAAAAAAAAAAGGAGAGGATAGAGGGTTCCAGCACAATTATCTTAAAAACCTGCTCAATGGAAGTCACAAAGCTGGCAACAGAGCATAAACCATCGTATACCTGTTTGCTATTTCTGCTTGCCAAGAATATAATCTCTTCAAGCCTTTCTAACCTGTTGGCTTCTGAGCAACATGCAACTCCATAGGGCAATTTATCTGACCCATCTTAAAATGGTCTGAATCACCTTCTGTAGGTGCCTGTCTCTGCATTGGCTATGGAGAGAGGCTAGACACTTAGGCTAGACTGTCTGTCTTGGACAACTAAAGCTAGAACCCAACCCTCAGTCTTTTTCATCTTCTCATGAGGAAGTGCAATCTTATGTTCATTTTAGTCATCCTGTGCACCCAGCTTGCCTCTAAATTTCCCTGATTTCAGCTTTATTTTATTTTCAGATAGCTGACCAGAACGGAACACAATATTCCAAAACAAGCCACTGATTTATAACAGCACCACACCAGTTTCGGTATTTCCCACTACATTCTTTGCAGACTCTATACTGCAGTGATCAGTCTGGTTTTTTCAAACACTACTGCATACTGTGGTTAGATTTTCACTGAGCTACCTAAGAAAAATATAAGCACTCAAGTTAAAGGTCTATGCACAGACCACAAATTCAACAACTTGTGCAAAGTATTTTTTTAAATGGGTATTAGTTTATTTTTTTACCCACATCAGAGTATCTGCTGCCAAAACAGCGTCTCCTTTTACTATAACTCTTCAAAATCCCGTAGTCTTCTCTAATCTTGACCAGCTTAGACAGTTTTGTGACACCTGCAAATACTGCCTCTTGGCTGCTTCCTCCACATACAACAAGGAAATCATAGTCACATTTTCATCATGTCTTACGCATAATAAGCAGTTTGATGCAGAAATAAGAAACATCAAATTTTAATTTATTCAAAACCAACAGTAATAAACATAATGTTCAGTAAGGTGAAACAATCAGACAAATATTTCCTTATGTAAAAGAGGTCCCTCATGTTTAGGAAAACTAATGCTTGGAAACTTACCTTATAGTCAGATAACAGTTAACTCTGTTACCGACAGCAAAATAATCAGCTGCAGTTAGAATGTCTATGCCATGTGGAAAAGTGCCCTACAAACATCAGAGGGGAGAGGGGGAAAAAAAGAAAATATTATTTTTAAAATGTAAAATATTTTCCAAATAGGCAATGTTATTGAAAACAAATCTCCTACTACTGTCCAAGCACTGAAAAAAAATACTATTTAATTTCTAATTTATAGTAAAATCACCTGTACTAAAGATATAAAGAATATCTGATATATAAACAGCAAAATATCTAGCTTCACTTATGAGTCAATGATAAACAGTCAAACTAAATAGCAGCAGGTAATAAACTATGCAATAGCTATTTTAACACCTTCAAGTCATATCCAAATATGTATTTGGTGAATGTATGACTATTTATGTACACAAAAAATGATTTCTCTAAGAGAACGTTTAGATAAATGTAAACATGTTTTCAGTTTATGTGAAGGAACAAGTATCTGCTGCTAGTTTTATGAAGTATAAAATTAGAGGTTTAGGCACCAAAAAACGTATCACACGTAGAATACATGAGAGTTCAATTACTTCTATTTCTTTCTACTTACACATGTATTTTATGTCGTATTTATTAATGAACTGAAAAAAATCAGGGTTACTTTCTTTTTAAAAAGAACACTAGTTCCCAGCAAAGCTTGAAACACTGAATCCCACAGAAGTATCACCCTTCCGATATCACTGCTCAAAACATTCTGGTTTTAGAATTATCTTTCTAAATATGCAATTGCCACCTAAAAAATTGCCTTTTTATACAAGCAATATAATTCAGATACTCAGAATTTTGATTGGCTATGACTGATTTAACATAGTATTACACAGCACGGCTGTGTTTTGGAACGGAGGAGGCAGCATAGCCTTCACAAGCCATAATTAAATACAAATGGAAAACAGCCAACTAAAAGACACTACGCTCACTTACAAAAGGGACAATCATATGATATTTAAGCAATAAGGCTATGTGGAAGTACAGGTTCTGGATATGATACAGTTTTGTTTGTTTACAGCTCACTCATCCCTGACACATTAGGATACAGCCATGCAAAAATAGTAGAAAAGATCTCTAGATCTAAGCCTGAATAATTGAAGAAGTGTATACTGCAAGTAGTGAGAAGTTGTCAGCCACTGTGGAGGTCTGATGCTGGGAAGCATAATGCCAACAGTCCAACAAAACAAGGCCTGGAATCTGACTGAACCAAGGACAGACAAAATATGTATGGCTTAGCCAAGAGACTACCTGCAAGCCCTAATAATGGTGAAATGAATGTACTCTTCAAAAGCCTAATGAAACACTGATTAGGGAGAAAAACGCGCACATGAGAAATACCTCAGTATGATTTAGAGCCAAACAAGACGACATACAATTAAATATGTAAGAATGCATACTGTACATAAGGAAAATCGCAGCTAAACAATTTCAATTCCAGCTCCTAGTTGGAGCTTGCTATTTATTACTTGGCTGTAAGTGTGCCAATTTGATGCCATCTCACCAAAGGTGATGGTGCCGCAGTGCATGTCAGTGAGACAGCAAAATTCCTGAAACCAAGTTCAAGAGTACAGAGGTCATGGCCAATGGGAGAGACAGACTTCAGAGGAAAAACTAACAGTTTCTATTCTGTCAAAACACTTAAAACTTACTTTTCCAATATAAAAGTTTGTCTTATTAGGAGTATGTGCATTTCTCGCGATTTATGCTTAGATAATATTCTTCAAATGTTTCAAAGTTTTCATTTACATGAAGTGTAAGTTACAATGGCTTCTTTTTCTGAGGCCATAAAAGCAAGCTCTCAGATTCAGGACATGTTCAATTGCAAAGGTGAAGCAGGCAGGAACCAGGAAGTAAGCAAGGTCAACTTTTTTCTCCACCTATTTTGTATCAGCATTGTTACTTCAGAGAGAGAATATGTTTTAGCTCCTTCCAATTCAGGGGTGTCTTTCAACATATTACATCCAGGTAAAGAACTACAGAGGGTGTATCCACTGATTAAGTAACCATTTTCCTAGGCAGTAAGGAATGGCTCAGTAAAACTTCTGAACTTCTAGAGGAACCAACTGGAGACTGATAGCACTCTTCATGCCATGAAAACTTACTATTTCACTGCAAACTCCTCCTTAACATGCTGACTTAGGAGCTAAAATTGTTGTGCGTTCTACCAACGCTGACAAATTTGAATCCTGCATCAAAACAGAATCAATAAGCAAACTTCTGGCTGTAAACTAACTTAGACCGTACCCCTCTGACTAAGAAATAAAGAACTCCACAAGACTTTTGCTACATGGCAGCGTTTCTAAGCCTGCAGCACCCAGGAGCCCTATCTCACCTGGAACTGAAGTCACAGTAGGGTGTTTACTTCATTCAGTACCTCATGAAGTGGGATCAGGCCAAGTTGCTGTGTGATGACTAACCTCTCCAGGGCAGTAACTATAGCGCCAGCAAAAAATCACGCTGGCTTCTACTTATCACAGACCTAGTTGGGTCAGGTCACCAAAACTGCCTACCCTCTTCCACCTAGTCTTCTTGCACCCTTTCTCTGCGATTAACCTAGTTCTATCTAGAAATACACAAACCAGTTACGGACACATTGCTTAATACCTGTAGCTCTAAAGGAATAATATCCTCGCTCATAACACAGAGATCTTCAGGAATGATATCAAGGAAAGCCAGACAGCATTTTAACAAAGATCCCTTAAAGAACAGCTTATTGATAACAAAATTTGCTTTAACCATGCTCACATGCCCTGTTCTGTCACAAGAACCACTGAACCATTGTGTGTGTCCCTTTTTTTTTTTCCTCCACGTTGTATATTCAGCTTTATTAGTTCCTGATGAGAAACCAGGAAACTTTGAAATCCAAGTCTTTACCCTATTTACTTCTCCTCCAAGGTTGCAAATCAAAGTTGTTTGAGCATTTTAACTACTTAAATGTTGCCAAGTTACATAGGAACCTACCACAACACTTTTTTCAAAGCACTTAGGTACCTCCAAAAGTAACAGATACCTAGCTGGTAGCACTATGGTACAACAGGCAAAACCAAATATTGACTTGAAGACTCTTAACCCTAGTTCATTGTTGTATCACCAACCACAGCAAAGACTGTGCAGCACACTTCAGCTGTTCCACTTCTATTGAAAACTAGAAAGTCAATGAAACAAAAGAATAACCAAAATTGCGCTTTTCCTGCTTTAAGAGCCTTGCAGTTTGCAAGGTGTATAATGGCCATCATAAATGCTGATTTTGCTTTTCAGAATGACTTAAAATTACCAGAAAGCTCATTTTCTTCCAAAACTAGAATAAAACTCACATCTCAGAAAAACATTCCACAAGAACCTGCTTGCTGATAACAAAAAAATAATTATTTTGTGACATCCTTCTACTCAATTTCTCTGAAGCCACAGCATCTAATTTTGATTTTAGGTAATATACATTTACAGTAACCTCCAAGGCACTAACGAATGAAGATTCAGGAGAAGTTACCATACCTGTCTCCCAACATTCTCCTGAAAGGCAGCCTAAGGAACAAAGAACAAACATACCAAAACGAGTCAGGTTTGCTTTTTGATAAACACCAGATGATGAATTCAAAACACACAACAATATAAATGACCCATGGCTTTTCTTTTTTAAATAAAGTAAGCTTTGTCAGTAGAACAAGCCCGCAGGGCTTTTTTGTTTCTGCGTGTCTGTGTTCTGGTGTTCTTAAAGCTGTATGTTGCATGACAGCAGTTTAAGAACTCGAGTTTATTAAACTAGTCACACCCACAAGAGTGCTTCTGAGTAGCGACACGAGGCTTCGTACTGGGATTGAAAGTCAATACCTGTAGACAACAGAAATTGAGACAGCTCCTTTTGTCCGAGTACTTCAACATAATTTGCTACTAGTAGGCAAAGTTTGATTCTTTGTCAATGAAAACTTCAGACAACAAATACTGAGAATGCAATACTTATTTGAAAGACACACATCTGAAAGCATGCTGAAACACTGAAATTACAAAACCTGAAGACAAAATTCATGTATGTTTCTTGTGCTTTGCATTAAACAAACTCAAAATCTTGTAAAATGCAATGAATACAACCATAAGGTTAATTTCTCTATTTGTATGGTATACAGAATAAAAGTTACTTAACTCCGTACTCGAATTCTCTCCCTCTCTCAAAAAAGCCAATTATTTTTTGTTCCTTAAAAGGATATGCAATTGTAAGTACTAATAAAAACTTCTGTAAATTTTAACTCTTTTCAGAGAGGAGAGATTGTCATTACCTAGACACTTCTCTGAGGGAATGTCACTATCTACAAACACAAATCTCCAGTGATGGACAGCACTCGTCACCTCACAGTTAACTGATGTTTAACATATGGGGTGAAGTCCCAATCTTTACTGAAAATGCCACAAGAACTTTGACAGACAGAGCTTCTGTATTTCCTACATAAATACAGTACGCATGTGGTAATCCACCTGTAAAAACAAAATGTTAAGTTAGCTTACCAAGGTTATCATACTCTACATATAGAGCAAGCACTCACAGGACACAGGTGAAGCAAGCCCTAATGAAGCCAGAGTCTCTTAGTGCATTTCTGAGGTTATGTCTGTTTAGGATAATGACTGCAGTTCCTGTAGACTTGCCCAGGCTAGTTCAGCTCCGGCTCACGGTGTATCCATTGCAGGACACATAGCACAGGCTGACTCTAAACCGCTTACCCACCACCTTGGTGGGTTTTGGAGCCCACCTTAACCTGCTCGCAGTTGCAGCCACGCTGCCAGCAGTGGCCCCGAGCTAACCGGTTTAGGATTGCCTCGGGTAGAACTGCATGGGCTATCCTCCGCAGTGGTGGCAGCGCAGATACACCCTCGGGCAACGCATAAAGCAGCCTTCCAGAACAGGAACACGAGCTGTTGCAATGCCCTACACTTGTTCTTTATTGTATGCTGTAGCCCAGCTTCTGACACAGGGGTTTTTTCACTCCTTACCTCTCTACCAACACTCCCAGTCAGGATTTGCCAGGACATCTTTTCATGTCACCCTGCATCATTTATCTTCTTACGTACGTGTTAGCTTTAGATCCCCTTTTATGCTATTGAGACCCTTTTACTCAGCTTCGGGAGGTTTCAGCAAGGGTGATGCTCCCAACTATCATAGCCAAGGGATTTAATAGTTTAATCACTGCGTTACAATTTCTTTTAAAAATGTACTGCTCAGACAAATGCAATAATGATACAGAATCCGTAAAGGCTTCCCACCCCCGTTCTTTTTAAGTCAGAAACTTTGATATCCAAACAACATAAATCTGGTCTCAAACCAGTGAAAGTTTTATTCTACTTACAATACATCCGTAGGCCCAGAACTGAATATGCTGTGGCAAAGTAATTGGAAAAAGATGTATAGGGGCCTATAGACAATGTTGCAGAAAAAAGCTATTGTGGGTAAAGATTTCACACAGTTTGTTTACTTAATGTAGGAATTTTAAAATTCCACCACTATAGCACCATTTCATTTTTTAACGTACTTAGAAAAACAATCATGAAGATCTAAGAAATAGCCCAGCAGCATGGCAAAAATACTTGGCATACATCTGATATATTCCAAACACGTAATTTACCTGTTCATTTACACCTAATTGATTAGTTTATCTACAAAAAACATACAACTGTAACCACTGCTTACAAAGATAGATATTAGTTTTGCCTTAGTATAAATATTTGTCGATGATTTCAATTTAATAGCCTTAGAGAAAATTAATCAGTTTGTTATAGATTCTTATGCTTGTGTTATGAGTTTACAATTCATAAAAGTATAAAGAGAAATATGGTAACTAGCAAATTCCTGTATACATAGCTCAGTAGCTAGAAAATTTTCCAGTTGCAGACTAAAACCGTATAGCAACTTGTTTCACAACTGGTTACTTAGGTTGAGGGAGGTTTGTATGCATCACCACAAACCTTTCTTAGCTTCAGCATTGTTGTTGTGCATTTAAAAAAAAAAAAAAAAAAAGCTAAAAGGTGCCTCTTCTGCAAATAAGTTGTCAGCCAGTTATGGGGAAATTTACAATGAAAACCAAGATATTCAAACAAAACCAGAAAAAGCCCTCAAAGGAATGTAAAACCAGAATCCTGGAGCATTTAGAGTTATATTTGGAAAATTTCACCACTGATTTAAGAAGGCTTTGTAGACAATGCACATTCCAGCTGTGACAACTTAAACACATTACTGTTCTAGAAGAACAGCATCTAATCCCAATTTTTGCAAAAAAAAGTGATATGGTAAATTATTTTTCCCGGGTGTGGAGTACATTGCACAGAAAAAGTTACAAGGAAAACCATCCCCACAATATTATTCTGTTAAAGCATTGTGAGAGAAAGTAAAATAGCGATATGGAAATAATGAAACACATTGTTCATCCAAGTGAAAATGCAGTTTTCTAGAGGTCATTTAATGTTGACAGAATTCCCTCCTTGTTCCTTTAGCACTTTTTTATTGTTTCACAAAATATTTTTCTTCATAACATTTAGGAGATTTTCAGTAACTGAAAATGTTACTATTTCAATCATACTTTCAAAACAACTGCAAATTCCTAAAAGATGCCAAATACTTCAACTGCTTTGTAATAATAATTTTTCATTTTTCATACAATCCTCTTCTGGAGATGGAAAAATTGGATGCAAAGATCTTAACTTAAAGATTCCATGATATCAGAACAGAGATGACCAACTAGCCTTGTAACCTGACTACATGGCTGTTCCCACAAAAACTGAAAAAAATATTAAAACATTCTCTAAGTCATGATTTTAAAAACTATCAACGAACCAAGAGGAAAAAAACCCCTCTCTTTAACATGTCGGAGTTGAAGGGAGCCCAATGCGAGATCATTTATTCATGTGATTATTCCTTATAATGATTATTCATGAAAGAGTTGCACAAGTCAGCTCAGAATGGAGCTTCAAAGAACAGTCTTATTTTATTCTCTCTAACCTCAGGGTTCAAAATATCTCTATATGCTATTTTGTTTTATTGGTGCTCTGCATTATAATATATTGCATATTGTAATAGATGGAAAATCTAGTAAAACATGTTGTTTATTTAAATATGTATTTAACTGTAGTAATGATTGGAAATAATTAGGACTCCCAGGTATTTTTCTTCAAAATTGTAGTAATGCCCGGTAAACACAAAATATTTCTTTGCCTGCCTCTCTAAAATAAGAAAAAAGGTCTCAGCCCTTTCATAACTATCCATCAAAACAGCAATTCCAAATTTTGACCAGCTCTAAATTCGAATGTAGTAGTGAAAAAATTAACTTGACTGGAGATAACTGAATTGCAAAATGCTCGATAGCTTGGTTTAAAGTAGAAGAGGAAGTGAGAAGAAAATGTACTGTATTTTGTACTCATTTGAAATATGGAAGCACAATCTGCACTAAGCTTATAGCATTAGTAAATGTATCTGCTTTAGTACCATATTTCATGGTCAAATTATTGGTTTATGTTTCAGCATAGAAACATAATGAAGATTATACACAACAATTAGATCAAGCCACTAAAGCTAAGCAGTACGCTTGTAGTAGCAAACACGTTAAAAAAACAGAAAAAATCTCATCTTTATATACATTACCACTGATTCCCAGGACAATTCCTATAGAGCAAATAAATAATTCACTTTTCACCATCTCGACTCCTTAATGTTTTATGCAGTTCTCAGGAAGCAAAACTACCTTTGTTTTCCTCTAAGGATTTTATTTTAATAAAGTGACTTAAATTAGCCAAGAATAGCAAATTCTACGGTTTCTAAAATTTAGGAGTTGAAATTTGGGGGAAAGTAGCATTGTTCATATCCATTAGTTGTACAGTATGCAAAGAATATGTTATATCAGTACTCAGCTATCTACAGTGTCTTAGCTTCCATACTTTGGTTTTAACCTATTTAGACAAAGTGATTTGTGATACGATTACACAAGTAACTGACTCACTTCTCCAGCAATTATGCTGCAGCTTCATTCAACAGCTTAAACTCTCAAGCAGAGGTGTGGCCAGAAAAAATAAGGATGCTATCCAGGTATCCCTGAGAAATGCTTCTTATGTTATAAAAGCATTAGCTTACAAAATTTCAGTCAAAAAAATAGGACAGACCTGTTAACCATTTGCATGTTGCAATTTTTGGGTTTTTAAATGCAGTTTATTCTTAGGAATAGAAACACCTGGTTCTTTGACAGACATTGTTTGGTCCTGTGTTTGAGTTAATACAGTTATAGTGCGGGATTTTTTACATTTACATAAGATAAATTGTTTTATCTGTTGAAACAGACAACTCGTACTACTTTTTTTTTTGTTTCAGATAGCAAGTTCAATATGTACAACACACTGACTTAAATTCTTAAAGATAAGATGCCCATTCTTTCTTCTTCTCAAGTTTATTACCTCTCCTCCATAAATTCCCTTCTCTTAAGAACCATCACACATTCTTTTCAATTCTGAACTGCATAAAAATTTTCTACAGAAAGGTTCCACAGAATATACTTTGGTGTCAGTCCTATTAACTAGATAACAACATCTGCCTAATGGAGTTATCACTTTATTTTAAAAATTCCCAGTCCTACGGAAAGAGTTTTGTACAATAACTGAAAATATGTTAGAAGGGGAGATACTATAAAAATTTTAAACTTACCACAATTACAGAGTAACAGTTGATGAACAGCTAGAAAAGTGTAACTTCACAAAACTTACCAGCTTGGTGACTTGAAAAAGATACACTGTTTGTATATTATGAGTGACCCTTTTGTCTCTGCTATTGTGACTAGAAAATGCTAAATAGCTCTTTCTTAGACACTTTATCTTATCCATCATGACAACAATACAGCAGATTACGAACTACAGCCACAAATCAAGATGTGGATCTGTGAATTATATAATTTAAAATCGAAATTCACACCATACTTCTAAGGATTTAAAAAGCACTTTTTTGCTCACAACACAATTTATTGCTTATATGCTGTAGTTTTACATAGCTAAGTCTACAAAATAATTAAATTAAATGAAAACAAACAAAAAATAACAGAAACATATAAGCTAGAATGTGATAACTTACAGAAGCAGCTCTTCTGCAATTAACATCACGATCAAATACTGCAGCAATAACCAATGCACTGAGGAAATAAAATATTGAGTATTAGTACCAAAAAAATGAGAGGAAATGTGTAATGTCATCATTTCAACATTTACACTTCTAAGCAGAACCATCAACATTTCCTCTAAGGAGCTTATTATTTATAAATACAAGCCTAAACTAAAACTTGAGTTGAAATAACCATGTACTTCCTCGTTTCTCTAGTTTGCTGTGGACTGTCCACAGCGTGAACAGACAACTGCCATCCTACTGTATCAAAGCAATTGAAGGAGTATGCAAATATATTTAACTGCATAGAAAGGTTTTCTATTTTAAATATAGCAGGAGTTTAAAACTTGGACATAACTATCATCTCTAATGTGAGACTCATACAGTGTAATTTTAAGTTAAAACTTGGAAATACAGTTTCTCAATAACCAAATGCACAGCAAGTCTTATGTAAGGCTTAAGCAAAAATAAAGTTAAGCAATGGAAACTTGCAGCTATCTCTACAAGATCACATTCTGTAAGTAACAAAAATCAGAAAACAATATGCAAATCCTGCTAAAAGGACCTACAAGATAAATTGCAAAGCAGTTTTTTAAAAAGGTGACCTGTAGCTACAGAGGCATGAATATACGAAACTATTTCTTTGTGCGCGAAGTCTGGTAACCCTGCACAGTTCAATTCTTCTATCTCAAAAGAACTGCTTTTAAAAGATATGCTACACAACAGAAGAGAGGGAATATATTGCAGCACACGAAGTCTACAGCTTTAGAAATCCACCTCCAGCATTCAATTAACTTCAGTGACAAATAAACATCACTTCAGGAGAATCATTTAAGCAGAAAATTATTCCTTTCAAACTCTGAAACTCTTCATTACATTATTTATTGACTCCAGGCAAAACAGGAAATAAATACTGGCTGAAAAGTAAATCTGCAATAGCTTTGCTTTAGCATAAAGATATTAATTACACTGATAATATCAAACTTCCCTGGGTAGTGGCTATCAGTTTCCTACAGCGAAGAATACTATGTTGTTAAAATTCACTGAAAAGCACAATCAATGTTGCCTCTGTAATTTAAGTTTATCTCCATTAAGGAAAACAAGAGACAGAAAGCAAGAATGAAATGAAAATAAACCCCAATAAATTGTTCTAAAGACAGTTAATGCTTTCTTACTGCTACTTGCATGAGCAATTCCTCTCTCTGCCACAAAGACATTACGTGATTATAAGACAAAAGGAGGTCATCCAAACGATAGCGACTGGAAGAGCAAATGTTTAGGAAGCATTCCATTAGGACGTAGCATACATGGCTAACTGCTGAAAAAGCACTGGGTCAAATACATCATCTTCATACTATGTTTGCTAATTTTCTTCTGTGGCATACAGAGAAATTTAAAAATAATTTTAAAAGGACATGTAGGAAGTATATAGTTTTAATGATATGAATAGTTCCCATAAATCTTTTAATTATAGACGAGAACATTCAAAAGTAAGGAATTGAATGAAAATCATCCTGGAAAGCAAAAAGAAGCAAATTTCTGTCTGGCATTTCCAATTATATGGACCATAAGATAAAACAGTATTTTGTCAGTTATGCAATATTTCAATATTGCTCTCTTCCGAGAAAACAAAAAAAAACCCAAACCACCAAAAAAAAAAACCCCTCATCGAGGCAGGAAGCTCAAAATCCAGAGTGTTGCCTTTACGGTGTCAAAGGTACCCTTGAAGCTAAGCGTTACGGAGTACTTCAGAAGACATGTGCTGGGTCGGACCAAAATCCTTCCAAATGATTATCTTGCCTCTGACAGTGGCCCAAAACAGACACTTAGGGATGAGTGTAAGGACATACATATTAAATATTAAAAACTGATTTGAAAGATTATGCAGTGTTTTCAAACTGGAAATGTTAAAAGACCATCACTGGAGAATAAATACTGCTCTTTGAATTTCATATTTAGACTTAAAATGTGGTTTATTAGATATAATGGAAAACAGTTTCATGTTACTATACACAACAAGAGTTCAGGTTATAATCAAATTGTGCTCTTCCATTTTTCCTTATTCTTCTGTTACCTTAAGACAAACCTATGTAAGTAAAACCAGCAAAACAACATACTGTCTATGTGATGCCACCCAAGTTATTCAGTGCTGCAACTGAATACCGCGTTTAAGAAAGACAAAACAAAAAAATCCAGGAATTTTGTCATTGCCCCCATAGCCCCATTATATTCATAAATCATACTGTAGTCACTGCTTTATGTTAATCCTTTCAATAGAAGTATTTTAAACTTATCAAACTACACGAATAATTTTTCAGGTTAATTCCTATTTGAAAATGCAGGCACAGTGTGCCGTAACACAGGGATTAGCAAGGAAAGCAACATGCCTAAGATGAAACATGTCTAAGGTGTCTTCACCTGTCTGCTTTGTCGTGGGAGTTTATGTGATACTCCACCAGGATTTCCTAACATAAAGAAACTGTTTATGTCAAACAAAGTGGGATATTTTTTTTTAAGCTAGTTCAAGAATCATGTCTTGACTTGCCTGAAATGTACCACACCTGACTACTAACAGGTAGAGCAAAGAATGCCTTTGCATCTTGCAGTCTCTATGAAACACCTTTTGTAGTTCCTTGAGGTATATTTACCCTGTATGCACAACAAGCTTTTAGGTGTACAATAAACACAAATGGACTTTAAAAAGCAAGTTGCAATTCTATCAGTCAACTAATAATTCTCCCTTTCTTCCCCATCCCTTCCCCTCTCCCCCAAGTAGTCACTTAACTGGCTTCAGGGAAAGTTAAAAGGACTCAAAGCACGTTAGCAGCTCACTTCCTCAGCCCAACACTGATCTCATTACCTTCCCCTGACAAGGCAGAAAGAATCAGAGAGCAGAGGCCAGCCAGGTGATAGACATCAGAACACAGAAATATCAGAAATATCAGGTTACCCTCTCCTTATAAGCACCAGATGTACCACACAATAAATCTGAATTTCCTTTGTCACCTGTACGAGGCACTTCTAGTCTATACTAGTCACAAGCAGCAAGAAGCTTATCCTATTGCTAACCTCTGAGAATTTGCTACTATTAATTCAAGCATACCACCCTGAAGCTGCAGGAGATAAAAAAATAAACTCTCAAACCTCTTGCCAATTTGGCACAAAACCAAAATTTCCTTCCTGAGCCCAAAAAAGGGAAAAGTCTAACTTGTAACAGGACAGAAAACTCTCCTCCCTACTATACCTTAGGGAAGGGAAGGCGTGATAATCATCACAATCAAAACAGTTTTGAACAATCCACACAAGTTAGGAAAAGGAGGCAAGACCAGAATCAGACCCGAGTCTGCTGAGAGCTGCTGCTGCAAACAGCCCTTTTCACACCACCATGCCAGTACCGCAACTGCAACGGCTACACAGTGAGCTGGATGATGAAAACAGATCTAGGCTCAATTAATTTGTCTTTTGCTAGCTTTTTTTAAAAAAAAAAAAAAACAGAGAAGCTCCCCTATTCACTTTATCCCATACAGCTGTGCTATGCTCAACTGCAGGAGCAAGCAGGTGAAGGAGCAAGCAAAACAGCCTGCTTCAGCCAGCACTGCTAGGGGAAAAAGCCCTTCAGACTACAGTCTCAGATTTAATTCCTCCTGTTTATCTAGGCAAGGAGAAAGTCTAAGAAAAGGAGAAACGCGGTGACCATTCCCACTTCTACGCTGCATACTTCCACAGTCCCTCTAACCCAGCTCACACTGAGCTCTTACACTTTTCCTAGCCACCCAACATCCTACACTGTTCAGTGTGTTACTCCGGTCCCAAAGTTGTGGGGTAAAATGATGAAAGTATAATAAATACACATGTAGAAAAGAGCAATAAGAAAAATGCTTAGAACATGAGTTACAAATGCTGCTATTAAAAAAAAAAAGAAAAAAAAAACCAAAACCAGAAAGGCATATGATGACCCTGCAGGAAATAACTTTACACAAGTGCAAGACACAGTAGGCTCACAACTCTCTTCTGAAGGCAACATTCAAATACATAAAAGAAGAAAGCTATTCTCAATATTTCATCATGGTACAAGATGTAGCTCAAAGCAACGCTTCAGATTTCCCCAATTCTGCAGGACAATCTTGCCCTGGAGCAAGCTACATCATTCATCCATAGCCACACCTTCCTTCCCCCCCCCCCCCCCCCCAAAAAACAAAACACCACCACCGA